CCCCCCCCCCTGAGTCGGCGGCGGCGTTTCTCTTCTCTATATAAGCCAAAGCAAACAGAAAAATAAATAAAATAAATAAAATAAATAAATAAATAAAATGAATAAAATAAATAAATTAAATAAAATAAATAAATATTTGGGTTAACTGCTGCAATAAAGGAACAAGGAGCAGCAGCAGCAGCAACAAAGACAGAAGCGCCGCTAGCCCGCTGCTGCCGCTGCTGCTGCTGCTGCTGCTGCTGCTGCTGCTGCTGCTGCTGCTGCTGCTGCTGCAGCTGCAGCAGCAGGAGGGCGCTGGGGCCCGTAGAAGAGGTGTATCGTCTCTGTTTTAAATCCATTTGTCTTTTTAATTAATTAATTTCCTCTTATTTGTAGAAATATCGCGAGAACGAAACAAAGAGGGGCCCCTGCATGGCTGCTGCTGTATCCCGCGCGCAGCTCACCGGGCGGTTGAGGTGTACATACACCTCAGCATTTTGCTGCAGCAGTATTTTCTTTTCCTTCTTTGAAATTTGGCTCTTCTGCTTACTCTACAACTCCTTTTCTTCTTCTTTTATCCTTGGCTAGCTAGCTAGCTAGCTAGCTAGCTAGCTACGATGAGCCTGCAGCTGCCGCCGACCCCCCCCAACCACACCCATCAGGCTAACCCCCATAAAAATCCTTCTCTCTCTTCTCTTGTTTCTTCTCTCCCCTCTCTACACGCAAACTCCAGCGCCTGCTGCGAGGAGATGCACACAATAGACAGACAGAAGCCCCTGGGGCTGACGCCACTTAAGCTGCCCTGCAGCAGCAGCAGCAGCAGCAGCAGCAGCAGCAGCAGCAGCAGCAGCAGCAGCTGTTGCAGCAACAGACCCAACCAGTACCACTCAGAGGTTTCAGAGCACATGGATGCTCCACTGCAGCAACGGTTCAGCAGCAGCTGCTGCAGCAACAGCAACTGCAACAGCAGCAACTGCAGCAGCAACAACTGCAACAGCAGCAACTGCAGCAGCAGCAGCCCTCGCTTCTCCAGTATGGGGGGGACGCATCTGCTGCCGCATCCTGAGGCCTTTGGGGGGCAGCCCCCAACGCCTTATGCTGCATACAGCCAGCCAGTATCGCAGCAGCAGCAGCAGCAGCAGCAGCAGCAGGAACTGCAGCAGGG